TTTATTTTATTCTGTTTTTTTTGTTTCTCTTTTTTTTTTTCTGTTCTGACAAACGATAATCTAAAAAGGTGAGAAAAGTGTTTTTTTTTTTTTTCAATGCACCAAAACCTCTATCATTTTTCTATTATCATTGCTTTTTTGTTGATGCATTTCAGTTTGGTTGTCAGCAAATAAATTTTGTGAAACTTTTCTGTGCAAAACGACAGCACAGATGGAGCCGCTTAAGAATTAAACTTAAAAGGCACTTGTTTTTTAATTCAGACTCAATTTGAAACTTTCAACTAAAGATTCAAACTGTTTAAAACTTTTCGTGTTCCTCTTTTTTTTTTTTTTGATTATTTTTTCTGTATACAGTGCTTTGAAGAGACTGAAGATTAGAATCTTTGAATCATCCACATAAGATTTCAGATAAAACGTTGTCAAGAATAGTGAAAAAAAAAAAAGGCAAAACGAGAAGCGGAACATCTGAAGTGTCAAATATTAAAGTAAAAGTGGGAAAAAAACCACTGCTTTTTTGGAAATATTTTTCAGAAAAAAAAGATAAATAAAACCTTAATTGCTGTTTTATTTGCACCATTAAGAAGTTTTTTTTGTCAAAAAAAGGAATTTTTTAAGTCATTTTATTTATTCAGTATATAGTCATTTGTTTATTGGCAATACCGATGGCTCGTAGCATCAAAAAAAAAAGTTATGATTTAAAGTTGAAAAAACGTACAAAATAAGGCTAATTTTTCTTTTAACGTTTTTCACCAGTATAAATAATTGTTTTATTTAAAAAACAATCAAAAATTACCAGCCTAATTTTTCAAAAAGACTATACCGATCTTTAGGCACAGCTATAGAACTTTGACATTATCAAATCGGTGACTGTCATACAGCAGAAATGCTATAAACAGCTTTGGGTTTCCAAGCTGTCTCGTTTTCAGAAGAGACGTTGATAAATCAATGAAATGTTTTCATTACTTTTCTTTTGTCTATCTTACAGTCAAAAATGTTTATTTGGTAAACTGAGAAAAATATGGTATTTTTCTTTGTTCAACCGAATACTTACCAAAGTTTAATAAAACTATGAGTACGGATTAAGTGGGAAGCGAAAATGTGAAAGAAACGGCAAAGAAAAAGTTTATGTCCGTCAAGTAGTGACAACAACAGCAAGAAAAACTTTAAGACATGTATTTTGGCAAAAAAAGAGCATTTTATATAACATTTCTTAATGAAACTACAGAATTTTGTGAAACAGAAAA